ATTATATAATTTAAATAAGGAGACAATTATTAGTTTATGAATTAATAATTTAATTATCAGTATACCAAATCCGTACTTGTACCTTTTTGGGGCTAACGCTGTCATTTAAATGAGAAACCAAGGAATATTTCTGAAACGAACGGTATACTTTGCTCCAGAAACTATGTAATTATCAGGTAAATTTTGATTCACAAATAATAATAAAAATAATAAATAAATAATAAATAAGGTAGAAAAATGGTTTGATCGTCTGAACTCCAAGTGACATCTCTAGAAACAGTGAAAAAGCAAAATCTTTCGCCACTCTCAAAGGCATTTTCAACTTGGTATTAAGCAGGTTAGAATTTATTTCCAACTAACAATACCCAAGATCGTAGCAGTTTCAGTGATGCCGCCGCCAATTGGCGGACGATACAAACCTTGCCTTGACAGAGGTCACCACCGTTCCCACTGTGACATTTTCTTTAATGTGGATGGGGCCATAGGTGGCGCTATCCCACAGGGGCGGCTTGTTGTTTCTGTCGACTACATCGAGTTCGATGTCTACGTCGGCATAGGATGGCGGCACTCCGCGATCAGAGGCGCGCACGCGCAATCGGTACCTGTCTCGCTGCGGTTAAGCAGAACGGAAGAAGAAACGGCACGTACGTGAGGTGGTCGGTGATGGGTCGTGTAGAAGGGAGAGAAACCAAACAGAACCAACATCGAAATCAGAAGCTAAATACTTTTTGGAAGTAATAATAATAATCATAATTATAACAAAATTAAACAAAAAGAATATAAACTAACGGTCAAAGTAAAAAAATGGAATAATTAAATCAACTCAATCACACGACAACTAAACTGGAATGATTTGTATGAGCAAAAATGGTCGATTCTTCGGTGGAAGGCGAAGACTGTGTTTTGGTGCAACCTTTTGCGACAAGTCTGGAAGTTAATACTAACCTTCCTCACAAACGATATTTAGACTAAAAAAGTCAATGTTCAGTGATCACTGTTGCTGGTGTAAACGAGATTATTTTTCAGCAGCATTTTTTGACCGAAAAATTTAGTTAATTGAAAACACCAAATAAAAACCTGAATTTCTTAAACCCAACCATAAAGAAATTAAAAACATTTTTATTCTTGTCATTTGTTTAACCTAAGTAACAAATTTAAAACGATAAGCTTTACGAATATACTTTCATTTTTCCGAAAAAAATATCCAACCTCTGATCAAATTGAATAAATAACAACAAGAAAATATAGAACGATTTGATAACAATGAATTGAATAACTCTATACATAAATTCTGCACAAAAGTATTTAAAATTTTGTAAGGTTATATGAAGATTAAGTTCGTTGACCACTGAAATAGAACCTCGCCATACCTAGGATCAACTTTTTACGTTAAAATAAGATATTAAACTATAGCTTAAATTATTCAGGATAATTATACATATTTTTTGAACACCACGTTCTGAATACATTTAGGAACTTTTTATATTTTTCAAGATTCATAACGAATCAAAACTAATTTCAAAAATGTTATAATCTGACCGAGCCGGTGTCATATAAAAAAAATTATATATATAGAGCCAAAGATGAATTGCAGTGATAATAAAACGTAACCAGCCCGATAAATAAACGTATATGATTGTTTCTCCTCTTGAATATTCGAAATTATTGGTACCGCCAATATATTTAGCATAAAAATTTTAAGTCATAAAAAAGTGAATGGAGAAATTAACAGTTCCTATTGCTGGAGTGTGAAAAACGAAAGCTTAAGGACATGGTGTTTAAAAAATCGAAACTTTGTTTCACAATAACATTAACCGCTCTATTCATGTATTTTAAAGTCCACAATAATAATGAAAAAATGTGTTTAATGGGTACCAGCGGAAACTATCAAACAATATACCCAGATCCGGTTTTCAATAATGACATAAAACGATATTATCGAGACGCTAAAAAAAGTCTACGAAGAAACCTGAAACGCCAAAAGATATTTAACAAACAACTCCACCAACTCGCAACTTATGTACATACATAGTAATAACATTTATGTATATATAATTTAAGCAGTACGAACTGAAAATAATTATAAACAAAAACAGTGCATCAAAATAGGCGTTATATAGTACTCCTAGCGATCTATCAAAAAAGTAACAATTAGGACTATCGTTTGGTCTTGCGCAAAAAATCATCCAAAACACAGTCTTTTAAAACGACGACCAAAGTGAGAAATTTAAGACTAACGTCACCAAACTAAAGTCACCAAAGTCTACAGCTCCACGGCGTAGCTCTACGGTGATTACGTTTTTCATTACTTACGGGGTAACATCCCTGTATTCCATTGGTCGGTGGTTGTTTTAAGTAAACAACAAAAGAATGTGCAGATAAATAAAAACAAAATATAGAGACATCTGCTACAAGACACAAATCAACACTCAACATCAACAGCTGCTTTTTATTTTTGAAGAGGGAACTACCTAACCCACCCCCCCACCCACCCACTATACCACAAATAGGCGACTAGAAAAATGTTCAAAATTGTGATTAGTCGTCACGTTTCAACTTATCTTTTCAGCTAATCTGCACTAGAATTTGTTTATTTTTTTTATGCAAGCTCAAATAACATTATCATATATTTATTAAATGGTATTCATTCAATCAACTGTTAACGTTTGCGTCTTATGGCACGACGTTTAGACGTCATAAACAAATAATAAAACCAAAATATCAATAAGCAGGCAATCTCATGCAAAAAGTCAAAACAAATCGAATCATATTTGAGAGGGCAGGTCAGGAGCAAGGACGTGCATTCAAAAAGTCTCGTCTTATTTTTTTCTCTCTTGTAAACGACCTTCAAAAACCAAATAGACGTTTAGCTGACTTCGAGTTCATTTGATTTCCTTCGCAGCCCCATTCACAGGTAAAAAATGTCACAATGTCTCGGAAAGCGGTAGGAGTTCGGCAAAAAATCCCCGTATATCCCCACCCCCCTGGTGATGAAAAAAAGGAACACAACTCCTACCACTCTAACTCGACCGGCAGATAAAATTCAAATATAGCAGCCGTTAGTTAAATCCACCTGCAAAAATCACTCAAAAATCACAAAAATCACACTCAAAAAAAGAGTCGGTACGTATGGAAAAATCCAAACGGCGGCCCAAAAATCGTAGGTGGCACTTGGCTTACAAAACAAAAAACAGCGCTCCTTGCTACTCCAAAATATACAGAAAAGGATAACTGTGTTCTGGAAGAAGGACGACAATAAGCGACCATGCGGGCAAATTGTTCGAGTTTTTGATTGAAAGCTTCAATCATAACTACCACTGACATGAGCGTCTCTTTTTGTTTGTAATTAATATTTTCATTGAAACTAAATGAGCTACCAGTTTGTTGAATTAGTGACCAAGTTACGATATTTGAAAAAAAAATTAACGCAAAATTTTCTTTTCATTTGTTGAAATTCTGCGAAGTATCTTTTTATTGGCAATTTCGGATTAAAATCCCAACTTTTTCTACAATTTCAAAAAATGGTCCGTGCAACCCGAACATGACCCGATGATAAAGGAAGTGTCAATAATAAATTGAAAGCGCTTTCCAACGTATTAATGGTTTTATACTCCGTTCGAACTAGTGTTGTGATTGTTCTCGTCCCTGCTTATCAAGTGTCAACGACAATCTCCTGCCCAGCATAAAAAAGCAAAAACGATCGCAAATTGCCGTCAATCTCGCCGTGTCCAACCAAAAAATCAAAAAACGGAAAACAAGAGACCAAAAAATCAAAATGAAAAAGTATTCGGAAAAGGTACTGGTTAAACTTGTAAATATATGTATATGCAAGGTGTGCCGTATAAACAAACTTATCGAATAAAATTTATAAAGAGATCAGTGCAATTGGTCGGAGAGACTAGGTCCCCGACCAATCAGAGCAACTCAAACATAAGGTGCGCTGTAAAACTCATTAAGAAAAAAGCTGCTAAAGAACATTCCACCATGGTTAGTTCCACACGTCAAATTTATATTGAGGACTCGAAAAACACACAATTTTTTCAGCAAGTTTAAGCTACAGTTAAGAGGAATTTGAATTTTATTGATTTACATATATTTATTTATTTGTTTTTAATATTTATAATTTAACTTCCTACATTTCGCCAAAGTTTAATGAATTAATTCATAAATTAAGAGTTAAAGGAAAAGGCAATCACAAAATGTTCATACATAACTGAATTATGGGTTTTAAGTTGTTCCATTTATTTCAATTTTAAATACTCATAAATGATGTGTTACTTACCGACAAACAAATCAATTTTTATTGCCTATCAAATCTCAGTAGACACTCTTGTCGGTTGCCCAAGATGAGAATGTACTAAATTATGTATTGATATTTATTATTGGTATACGAGAACTAATTTACTGGACTCCAAATATAGACAATATTGACCACTTTTTCGAATTCATTAATTTGATCAAGTAGTCAAAAAACGATAAGAAAACCATTATACTTTTGTCAACATGTAAAAGTCATGCAACTTGGTTTTACCATTTTAAGTAATGACTCTGGCTATGCTCTGTAAGCAAATCGTAATCGACCTTTAGATCGCGTTGCTTTTGTGTGACGGACTGATAAAATAGGGTGTTTGTCGAAATACTCGAAATTTACTTTTAATAATTTGTAAGCAATTTTAGTAGACTAAACCAATGGAATATACTTTAATTTGTCCACTCGTACCTATTAGTGGTCCAGCTATTTTTGCTATTAAAGGCCCCCTACAAATATTTATTTCTTTTAAACTTACTTTAAACTTTGGTATTCGCATCCACTCTCACATCCACGCAGTTATATATTATTAGTAAGTACTTAAACTCTAATACAACTAGATCTATTCATTGAACTCGTAGAATTGCAGAGGCACACAATTAAGCGCTAATCAATAAATAGACCTAGGTGGACATTGATAAATTTAGTGGTTATCATGTTATATATTGATCCTTTTGTGAGAAATACTTACGTCCAATGGCTTCTTAAGTACTATCCAACCGCTTTCTGGTTGGATCTCGAAGTATTCGAGGTCGGCAGCGTTAGAACCCGCATTCAGTGTGTAAACTATGGCGCCGTTATTGTCCGCGTCTTCGTCGGATGCGGACACCCTGAGGATGTTTGTGCCGATGCTCGCATCTTGTTTGACGTTTTCGACGTATTTCTTAACGACGCAATGAAAATGGTTATTTTAGGCGGAATAAGTGTAAATACATTGAAAAATAAATTTTAAAAAATAAGTTCACATATTGACCAAATTACCAATACAACCGTTCTAAACAGACCCCAATTCAAATCGGGTTTCTGTACATTCTCTGTATGGTTTGAAAATGAATTTTTAATAGTCCGACAATTTTGAAAATTCGGTAATAATGAAAATTGTGGACCATTTCCAAAGATCTTGAACATTTCATTAATTTTTACTTTTTTAACTTTCACTAATTTTAACTCTTTTTCAACAATGTGATATATTTATTCTCCAAAAATTAGCTGCAGTTTGTGAATAACATTATTCAATCTGATTTCACAGTTTAGATTTAACATGAATAGTTAGAAAAACAAATATCCTATAGTACTATAGCTAAAATAGCTAATGAGATTAAAAATATTTTTTGCAAATGACAGATAATTTTTTCGAACCATGAAGGTGTTTCATGTTAAAAATCAATAGGCTAAATAAAGACTGATGACGTTTAAGTTAAAAAAACAAATAGAAAGCAAAAGTGACAAAGTAATAGCTGGTCTAATTAGTTTTTTAGGATTAATATACATATATACTTAAGTATGCAAAATAAAGAAATATTTTTGTCATCCGGTGGGTGAAAATTTGCAACAAAAATGCAGTCTCGGAATGATAAAAATCATAGAATTTAAAGATTTAAACAAAAATGGTTTTTTGTTTTATAGAATCCCTAAAATCGAAAAATTTTCATAACCAAAGCTAAAAAATCTAATCTAACCAGGTTTCTAGGTATATTGTATTTTATCAAGAAAAAGTCATATTCCTACTTCAAACTTAAACGACTACATTAAGAATTTCTTTAATAGATATGTCTTTTTACAGAACAAAAAACATTTAAACAAATCACCGAAATAACATAAAACCACGCAAATATGAAGATATAGTTTATTCGAGCCGGATCCAAAAACACTAGCAAACGGGAAAACCAAACTGCATATAAAAGTCGCTTCGTCTGGCTGATAAATTCCCTAGTAATCTCTTTTCAGTTATATAAGTGGGTTTATATCAAAATCATATTTATAATGGAAAGCAAAATTGACGATAGTTTCTCGCAAGCATATAAAAAAACTGGTGTTTTGTCGCAGGAGTTTTTTGTGCACCTCTCTGCACTACCGAATGCAAATGCGTAAGTCATTGGCCATTGGCTCTCGCGGCGTCAAGTAGTTCCAACTCTGGCTTCTACCCTTTTCCAGTGTTCATAAATCCGATTACCATGACAACACTGCGTCACAAGACTGCCACTCGCGCTTTAGAGATACCACATAACATTAAGATGTTTGGCGGCTTGGATGTTTTTGTCTGTGTCATAGCTTTACAAAGATTTTATTGGATGCAATTCGTATTCGTTTATAAATTTCTCATAAACTGGAGACAATGTGACAATTTTTTGTTTGCCTCACCCAACTCAATTTATTTTTTACTTTTTTTGTATTTTCCATCGTCAATAATAAGGAAGATGTTGAATTTCCTGACACTAATGTCTCACCCTGGTTTCGCTTAGAAAGAGTGTGATGGTTTAAAAATTGGTCAGAGTGTACAGTGTGGTGGTGATGTGCGGAGCGCCCTCTATTGCCAATTGTCGGAGACGAAGTCGGCGAAGGAACGCAGAGTGGCCAGTTCCTTTTTAGGGGTCGAACTGTGTTGACGTGCTATTGGTTGCTTTGTTCGATTTCGATCTGCTTGACCAGAGTCGGTACGACCGGTCCATGCAATTTGTACTTTTGTTTTTCACGTATAGTAATACACTCCTTTAGTATAGTATAGTGTGTGTATTGTTTTCGCCGCTTCTGAACCCGGTGTGCTTCGGTAGAAACACATCCATCACAAGAGTTAATTAAAAATTATTTTTTAATTTTAAATTCTTAATTGGAAACAAATTTTTAAATTGTATTACTATAACTATAAACTTCTAATAATTAATCTAAGCCTCAGCAACAAAACTATAACGTTGCCAGCAATGTATGTGAAATACAACTACAAATACCAACATACAAATACAATACAAAAACATCTCCAATGAAAAAGTGGTTTTAGTCTATTTATTAAATGAACAAGTCATCTTAAAAGCGAAAAGTCAATAATTTACCTGGCGGTCAAACAATGGCGGATTATCATTGACGTCCGTAATTTCCACGGTAAATGAACAAACGCCTTCTAAAGACGGTTCGCCTTGATCGGTAGCTTTCACAGTCACCGAAACGAATTTGCCATCGTCGCCCTCCCGATCGAAAACTTTATTTGTAGATACTTCACCGGTCTCTTCGTCAACGGTGAATTTTGTACCCTTTTGATTGGGTTGTTGAACTATGGAGTATTTTACTTGTCCATTGACTCCTTTGTCCTCGTCGGTTGCGTGAACCTGAATAGCATTATATAAGTTTTCAACATTTCTTAGATAAAAATATGCATTTGCAATAACAGTTAATAATATACATATACATCACATTTCTCTTTTAAATTAACTAAGGTTGACGATGGAAAAGAAGAAAATATTATCAACCAAGAGTTAACTAACAATCAAAAATAAGAAATAAAGTTATGTGTTTTTCAAAGAAACTTTCACACGCTACTGTAATACTTTTTACAAAACTTCTGGATTCCTCCTGTGTCGGTTTTTGCTGAGTCGAACTTGCTGACGTTTCACCAATCATCCTGTTATCTTCTTCAGAGCTTGACTGAAACTGGAGCGTTCACTTTCAGTGAAGCTCTGAAGAAGCCAACAGGATGATTGGCTAAATGTCAACAAGTTCGACTCAGCAAAGACCGACGCAGGAGGAATCCGGAAGTTTTTCTAAAAAGCAAAGTTTTATGTGTTATGTGCGATTTCCGGTCAAACAAATAATAAAATTTACTAAAAATCTGTATTAATACTTATTTTAGACAAGGATGTTAACTAAGTATTGGGAACTTATCTTATTGCCTGTGAACGTCATATTTTCAAAAAAAGTTCAAACGATTCAAAAACCGGATAAACATTATACTTATAAAAACTTTAAGAGCCGCTTTTTAGCGTTCTGATATCTTAAGAGGTCTATGAAAATTTGGTTTACAAATGTCACGAAAATAGTAATTCTGTTTAGTCATAAGTTAGGTCCGAGGTTAGCGCCAAAACATCGCGGCCTGATATACATGGAGCTTCAATATCACGATAAAACTTTGTCTTCTTTTAAATATATATCTTAGTAGCCTTGAGTCAAATAGTTTTTTATTGACAGCATTTTAAAAAATACGTGTCCGAAAAAATGTCGCAAATAACACAAATTATATTATAGAGCAGTCATAAAGTTTTTGACAAAAGAAGGGTTAGCACCTAAAATTATTAAAGAAAGGCTGGGTGGTGTGTACGGTCAAAGTTCTCCTTCTCTCGTATTCTGTAGTGAAAGAATGGGCAAAACGTTTTCGAACGGGGCAGGAGTCCCTTGAAGATGATTCAAGAACTGGCAGGCCAGTGAGAGATGGCATTAAGTGATCGACGTTTAAAGGTCAAGGAAATCTCAGAAATTATTAAGCTTTCTGATACAAGTGTTCGTCGAATCTTGCATGATCATTTAGGTATGCATAAGGCAAGATGGGTTCCTAAAAACCTTTCGGCTATTCAAAAACAACGCCGTGTCGAGTGTGCGCGGTCTTTTTTGCCACCCCTATGGGTCGGAACCCAAGCCTGTGATAAAAACTATTGTGATGGGAGATGAAACTATGGTTCTCTATTATGATCCTCTATCGAAAAAAGAATCAATGGAGTGGCGTCGTAAGGGTGAAGCACCTTCAAGAAAATTCAGAGTCTGCCAGTCAACAAAAAAGGTTATGGCCACGATGTTTTGGGATTGTGAAGGAATTCTTTTTATAGATTTTAAAGAAATTAATACCACTGTCAATTGTAAATATTACGCAACATTATTACATAAATTGCGAGACTGCATACGTGTAAAACGTCGAGGAAAACTGACCAGAGGCGTGCGTCTTTTGCACGATAATGCACCTGCCCATACTGCTGGTGTTGCAGAGGCTGCCAATTTAGATTGTGGGTTCCAATAAATAGATCATCCTCCCTATAGTCCAGATATGGCCCCCAGCGACTATTATTTGTTTGGATATTTGAAAAGGGACTTACGTGGACGGCGGTTTAACGACGAAGTTGAGTTAAAAGAGGCTGTTTTAGCTCATTTTGCAGACAAACCAAAAGAATATATTTTAAAGGGATTGAGTTGTTAATAAAGAGATGTAGTAAGTGTATTGAAGTTAAGAGGGATTATATTGAAAAATAATAAAAAATTGTTACTCTACTTTGTTTCTTTCATATTCAAGCCGGGAAATTTTGGCGCTGCCATCGTATATAGTGTGATCGCCATATCCTGAAAATATCATTTTCATTTCCTTCACTGATGAAATCTGTCTCTGCTTTGCTTTCAAAATTAATTGTTATTATATTCTAGAATCTGCACCTCTAGATTAATACAACAGGCTAGTTAAATGTTGCATATTTACATTATTCCCTTGTGCTGTTTATGACTATTGGACATTAAATTTAAGTAACTTGTTGGTTCGATCTACATAATTGTTTGACTGCTCCAATTTATACTTATATTCATAAATTTAAACATCAAAGTAGGTATGTACCTTGATAACTGGAGAGCCGTTCGGAGCCCCTTCCTCCACCTTAGGATAATAAGTACCGCAATCTTTAAAGATGGGTTTATTATCGTTGACATCGGTGATGAAAACGACAACAACGGCGGTACTAGTATGGATTGTGGTGTCCCCGTTTGGGCAACAGGCTCCATCGTCCATCGCGGTGACGTTTAATTCATACTTGTCTCTGTCTAGTGATATGGCTTTCGAGTGCAATCGAATTACGCCGGTAATTTCTTCGATTACGAATTGACCAGAGCTGGTGCCACCACCTGAAGTAAAATAATAGGTCTGTCTAATACTTTAGTTCGCTATTATGACACAACAATGCGGTCTTTAAAAGAGAGGAGTGTCTGTCTCTGACAATGGAAAGTCTATTCAAAACTCATGATTTAAATCTCAACACTAAACTTAGACTACTTCCTATTTACGTTCTTTCCGGTGCAATACCATACGAAGCAGTATAGTAAAGCATTATGTATAATACTTTCTGGAAAATTAATTAATTTAACTAGCAGGGAACGGAACCGGTAAAGGAAAATATCCTAGACAAATGTTTTTAGAAAACTTCCGTTCTATAAGTAACGGTTACAAAGCTCCACTAATAATATAATGGAGTAACCAATTTTCATAGCAGGAGCGTTAAAAATTAAAGGAATGGACAAATGATTAAATACTTCTTAAAATATCAGGCTTTTTAAAAATATTCATATCGCCAATCATTATTCCCTGCAGTTATACATTAAACATTTCACGCACTGGATCAAATGCAATGCCTTTTTTTAAGTACAATGAGGAGAACTTGGAACAATATGCCCTTATTATAGCATATCTACAGCAAAAGCGATTATACTGTTAGAGCTATGGACTATAATAAATTACTTGTTTTAACTAATTTTGAAATGTTAAAAGATGAACACATTGGGCAGATTTGCAAGAAACCCATTTTGCTTACTTACTTATGATACCCTTAATTTTTATCACGTATAAAAAAAAACCTAAAGAAGACAAAAAATACTTACCAACAAATCCAAATCTCACATTGTCCCCATCTTTGTCTGATGCCACCACAGTAGTTACTAAAGTATTTGGTCCCGCATTTTCATCTACGTTTGGGGTATAGACTTGCTGCGAGAATTTTGGCTCCTCATCGTTCTTGTTTTTGGTATACACTCGAACCTAATAACAAAACATATTTTGCAAATTTTTGCCCTTCAGAGAACCAATTTCATTTGATTTTGAACACAATAACAGTAACTGTTCACATACCGTGGCAGTGCCAGTTTTAGCGGGTTCACCCTTGTCTTTGGCGGTAACAACGAATTCATAATAAGCATTGTTGTTATCGGCGTCCAGTTGCTTATTATTCGATATGATCCCACTGGGATCGACGCTAAAATGATCATCCGAGACAAAGTATTCGATTTCGGCATTTGTTCCAGAATCTGCGTCCATGGCCTTTACTTTCAGAATGCTAGTGCCAGGTGGGATATCTTCATCTACATTATGCGCTTGATAGTCGGGCAGTTCGAATTTTGGAGCGTTATCATTTACATCGGTAACTCTGATGGTAAGCTGTAAACCACGACATACGATGAGTTACTTGATTGGCACAACACAACAATAATCCTTATCTCTTGATTGCCTTAAATTTAAAAAAATATTGAATACAACTATTGTAATATAAGCAGAAGAATATTTTATTACTATTGATTTATTTAAACTTAATATAAATAATATATCAGTGTAAACTAGTTAAAGCCAGGTGAGATTTTTTGGCATAGTATATCATACTATATTTGCGGGCGACCATTACGCAAAGAATTAAGAACAGATATCCCCAGGGCAATTCAAAAGTAAATATTAAACTTTCGCAGACATTGCTCTCATAAAAATAAAAGAAAGATTTCCTTTGAACAGGCATCCACCCGGATAGGTTCCGTTATCGGGATATGATTAGAAGGTGATCAGCTTTTACTTGTATTTTTATGGCAGAAATAGGAATGTTTCCGTTTACTATTGCATCACGGTTGTAAAGTTGATATGTCAGATTCGAAAATAATCGTATTTATAACTGGAAATCTTAAACAAACTACAGACAGTAATGAATAAATGAATTTAACTAACAGCAGAACACAATTCCTAGTGTTAGGACTGGTCAATTGACTATTCAAATTCAATAAAAATGATTTATATAAAATCTTGCAATTGTATCAATATTTAATTATAATGTGTATTTTACAATTATGCGTTTGCGGTGTCAATTTATCTATTAGCCTCTTCAAGAAATACCGGACACGATATTTAGTTTTCAGAACGACTCCACGGCGACATAAGGCACGATATAAATAAACTTAAATAAATAAATATAAATTTTATTGTACTTTTAAAATTATTTCGGTCAATTGACACAAAAAAAATGACCGGTCAATTCCACAACAACAATTATTTTTTTATAAAACTTCTGGATACCTCCTGCGTCATTGAGTCGAACTAGCTCACGTTTCCCCAATCATCCTGTTGGCTTCTTCAGAGCTTAACTGAAACTGAAACTTAAATGAGGGGCATAAACACCGTCTCGGATGGCTGATTCCCATATTGGTGACAGGTAGAGACCTGCCTCGCGGTTAAGATTGTTTATAGATTTCTATAGACTCTCGGATTTTTCGTTGGTAGAAGAACTGATTACATGCAAAGTTCCTATTCCTGAAATTCTCGACATCATTTCAGATATATTAAAGTCCGAGAATCTGGAACCAAACCTTCTCACGATCAAATTTTTGAATGAAAGTCGGGAACCGCTATGGTTTCTCCACTATCACCAGTCATCGCGAATATATTTATGGAAGCCTTTGAAAAGAAAGCTCTCGACACCTTTCATCTGAAACTAAAATTATGGAAACGCAAGGTCGATGATACTTTTGTTATTTGGCCTCATGATCAAGAAACCGTAGTAGATTTTCTTAGACATTTAAACTCTATATGCCCTAACATATGTTTTACCATTGAGTTGGAAACTAATAATAACTTTCCATTCTTAGATATTCTTATCAATAGAAAATCAGACCTAACATTGGGCCATTGTGTTTACAGAAAACCTACGCACACAGACCGATACCTTAATGCATGGTCACATCACCATCCGGCCCTAAAATCATCTTGTTTACAGAGCCGTAAAGCTATCTCAGCCCGAGTCACTGAATCCAGATTTAAAACACCTTGCCTCAGCACTTCTCTCTAATAATTTCCACATTAAGCGTTCTATCAAAAAATACACTTCACCACAACCCTTGCCACTGTGGTCCTTCTTCCTTACATTCAAAACATCACTGACCACATATCAAAAGTTCTAAAGAACGTCAAAACCAGATTTACCACTTGTCCAAAAATCTCTCAACGTCTTCGTTCCGTCAAAAACAAAATTCCATTTGAGATGCCAGGAGTTTACAGCATTCTATGCATATGCGGCAAAATATACATTATGCAACTAGGATCAAACAACACGAAAGAGCCTTACGACTAAGACAAATAAACTTATCAGCTGTTGCCGAACACACTCATGAAACCGGACATGAAATTTTATTTGATAAAACTAAAATTCTTGCATGTAATCAGTTCTTCTACCAACGAAAAATCCGAGAGTCTATTGAAATCTATAAACAACCTAACAATCCTAACCGCAACTCAGGTCTTTACCTGTCACCAATATGGGAATCAGTCCCCCCTCAAACAATATATAAGCAGGTACAGAGTACTGCTCTGAAGAAGCCAACATGATGATTGGCGAAACGTTGGCTAGTTTAACTCAACAAAAACCGACGTTTCTTTGAAAAATTAACCCTAACAATTACTTAACGACTATATTTATTACCTCCACTGATGTTGAAAATCCCCCAGAATCTTCTGTAGCGGTAACGACCAGTGAATAAACGTGCGGCTGCCTCAAATCCTCGAAGTCCAGTTCTTTAGCTAATTTAACGATTCCTGAAGTGGGACCGATGTTAAAAGTTCCAGCACCTTGACCTTGGGCCTTTAGGGTGTATCGGATTTCGCGATCCGCAAAAGATTTGGCTTTTACTGAAATGATGCTGAAAATATCTATAATAAGCATCAATTGCTAATGCAATACTTGTCGATTAACGTTAACAGGCAGTGCCTGTGTTTATATTATAATAAAAATCTTCTTGAATAAGTTTCGAAGGTTAATTAAAAAAATCAACATTTAATATCTATACCGCATGTCACATAATGGAGTGTACTAAAGTTGAGGAAGTATTTCGGCAATAATTTTCATTCATTTAATAATGATAATAATAATAATAATAACACATTTACGATCCCACAAATTTAGAATAGAATTACAGTGTATTCTGGATTTGGTTAAATCGGTGAAATATAAAATTTTATATAATAAAAATACAATAACAGAACACAACAATATAGTAATAACAAATATTAATATATATTTATATAAACATGTGACCTAAAATGTTAGGTTTTTCAGACACAGGGTGTCAAATTTGCTTTCTTAAATCGTTTTCTTTTAATAATTCAAATATTCTTTTGAAGATATGAGAAAATGGCAAAAAAAAGTTTGACCAGACACGCAATATCTTAAGGCCAGACTTTTTTAATTTAGGACATAGCTTCAAGTTACACTAGATATAATATGCCACATATTCATGTGGCAACCCAACCCGACCCAATATTCATGTTGAAGAACCTGTTAAATATTAACGTATGACCATCGAAGTATTATTAAAAAAAGGTTCGGGTACTTACTATATTTAGATTTAAGCGATCAAACTTCCAAATAAATTACAGACATTAGTATTGATTAATAATTATCGTTATGTCAATCAGAACAAGCGAGCGCCTACTTAAAAAAATATATAACTTTTCCAACTTCGACAAAAACAATCATTTCGTAAAAGCTTCCCAAAGAAAAAGTAAAAAATTACTGGATGTCAATACAAATATCAAATCGCCCCTCAACAAACTCAGCAAAATATTATTTGTTAGATTTAACTTACTCGGAATCTTTCTTTTGGTTTTCTGGAATTTCGGCTTCGTAGCTGGGCATGTAAAACTGCGGCGCCCTTTTTCCTCCTACGATAGATAATCTTTCTTCTGGAGTACTTTGGAATCTTCTATCGTCTAGCCTTCCGTTTTGGTCTTCCGCTTTGACGTAAAGAACATATTCCATATCCAATTGGAACAAGTCGGTACCACGAGTTCTAACAACGCCGGATCTAAAAAACAACATTCATCTTCTCAATAATACTAATCGGACTTGTGTGTTGAGTTGGTTAATCCTTTTCCTCATTAAATTAAAGTGAAATAATAGTAAAATAAGTAATACAATTTACAAGACATAATCAAAATTTGCAGAGTTAATCACGCTATGCTAAATTGATCAATAAATGTCTCTATATTCAGTTTCACGTTTCACAGTTTCACACGTAAGAATGCAGAAAACGATTTGTAAATGTATAAAATTTGTAGGCCACTTAAGTTGAGCCTGTCAAAATGTGTATTACTATTAATGGTCACCAACCTAAATATGATAAAAATTCTCAAAACAATTGGGTCTGAAAACGCATTTAAAGTATAGTATGAAATGAAGTGAAAAAAAAATTTGGTCTTTCCAATAGAGCAAATATATCAGTAAGATCATATTAATTCATTCATTACTTATCAACAACAAAAGCCAAATATAATTAATCGAACACAATGACAAAGTTGACTTTAGTTTGCAAGTCAGTTCGTGGAATAAAAAAGAAATTGAAACATCTGATAATTTAGATCGCTTATTATTATATGAAGTATTCGGTGAACTGAAGAGGATAAATAACAAAAAAACTAATTAGCCACTGATTAAAATCTAAACCTAAATAAAAAAACTAAGCTATTAGAAAATTTTGAAACATAACCTATTTCCCTATTTATAAGCATGGTCAGCACCATACTCGCAAAATTATCTTAAAACACACATTGATCGTTTTATTTCGTAGAACAAAATCTTATACCGTTTGTCCTTGAATAGGTAAAACTACTAGATATTACAATAATTTCTAAATATATTTTCGTACACCTCTACTTGATTAAAGGCTAATATCTAAAATAAAATATTTTTCTATAGAGTGCTTTTATAACACAGTTAAGACAAAAAGTTCTGGGAAAAGCTAACAGATAAGGTCAAATAGTTATGAAGAAAATAATAGTTACCTAACGCTTATCGAATAAAAAAAAAGGAAAAATATATAAATATCGTTGGACGAGGATATTCAAGTTTGCTATTTCTTCACCTATCTTCATTTTAAAATTGTCAGATTCTTTATAAAAAATAAGCTATTCCTGTAACTAGTGTTAAACGTCAACTGTTACTCGTTTTCGAGAAAAAAAACAATCGAAATTCACAATAATCTAAATTTGAAGTTAAAACTTTCGAAATGATTCTAGAAGAGCAAAAATTTATCTTTTTTATCTATTTTTTTATGGTTTATTTACAATGCAAAACAAATTTCTCTTTTGAGACACTCTAGTCTAAAACGGCCTTTTTTTAGATTTTCTTCAAGTCATCTGCTTATTACACAAATGTACATGAATTATTAATTATAAGATTCGCTTAGTCTTTTATACAGAACAAAAAAATGAACAAAAATACAAATTTCGTTATTAGTAATAGTGGTAGTTTAAAATTAGGACGCCCCGTAAACAAAACAAGGGAATTCTGAACAAATTCATTTTGAATTATACTTTTTTATTTATAAAATTGAAAATAAATGTTCAAAATCAAGGAATTGCGTTATTCGACCAGATTTCTTAGTTCACCTTTGATAATTTTGCTAGCTGCAAGGTACTAGGCATTTAGATACCCAACTGTTATCCGATTAATCCGTATGCTTAATGGTATAAAAGTTACCCACACAATCCCATTAAAAAATGATCCCAACTTTTGATAAAACTTTCTACCATCCTGTTTTACCCGATCCTGTATTGGACAATTTTATCGGGGATAGCATTCATTTAAATAAAAATCTACCACCTCAATTAATTGACATCATTTAACCATCAAAATGCGATTTTAATTCGCCGTTACTACCCTCGAAGCACCTTAAATCTACTCATAAACCGGCGACATAAATTTTATTTTCAATCGATAAATACTTCAAAATTAAATTTAAATTTATCGCCCTCGTAAGCCGGAAACGGCAATAAAAAAAATCCACGATATTATCGCGTCCCCTAAAAAAATCAATAAAAGCCCCATTACATTATGCCCTTTTTTTGTTCACCGTGCGCCCACCTTTCATCAACTTCGAACCGACCCCCCGTTCTATCCCTGACGATGAAATAGTGGATGTTGTGATCGGTGTCGGGATCTCGCGCTTGAAGGGTGAACACGGGGGTGTTGGGCGGTGCGTTCAGCTGCACCACCGCCTGCATCGGCAGGGGTCGGTTTATGAAGTACGGAGGTTCGTCGTTGACGTCGCGCACGTGGATAATTACCCTTTGGTTGTCCGTGTCTGTAAAAGGAAAACTCGTTTAGGGTTAAACGCAATTTACAGGGGGTTGTGAAGGTACGCGGATCGGACGCAACTAGGTCAACGATATTTATAAAGCAAGGGCCGGAGTAAGCAAGTGCATAATTTAATTTTAGAACTTGTCGCGAACCATTGTCGCGCAGGATAATATTAGGAATTTCATCGATCTACTATAGGAAAATTTCAAATAGCGAAAATTAGAAAATTTGTAGATATTACTAAAGTAGTTGGGGCCAGATAAAACAATATTATTTTAATTGATATTTTTTCATCAATTAGCGGTGTTATATTTAAGGTAGGCGCCGATTTACTAAGCGGTCCAATCTGCGACAAAAATTGATGCGCCGCAAGCCTGAACTTTTCGCCAATTTCTTTCTAAGCAACGATTTCCACACATTTAACTCGTTGTCCCAGAACATTTAACGAGATCCGAGTATATTTTGTGAAAATGCTGCCGTAAAAATGCGACATCTAAAGTGAAACTTGCCGCAATGACAATCTGTCAGCGGCCGTGTTGGTTGTTAAATGACCGCGCGCGCTCCCATTAAATGGTTTTTCCCAATTTTTATTTCTAATATCATAGCCGCCTGAGATGTGGCTGAAGTTAGATTTGGATTCGCATTTGCAAATATTGCAGCGGACCAGTTTGTCACCTATCTTAATTAAAAAAACATTCCTGTGAACATGCTGGGTAAGTAGGCACGGAAATATTGTAAGGGAGCTCCCAAAAATCATATCCAATGTTGCTATGTAAAAAATAACCCCTTTTCCGTTCGTAATTTAATTGAATTTCGCAATCTCGAAAAAATATGACGTCAAAGAGAATCGACACCATTAAAGAGCCATTTGGGACAGCTTCAAAATATGTATTACCCAACCACCTCGAAACGGTCGGGAAGATATAAAACTACCCCCAATAATGAAATACTCAATAGTTCGATATATTTATTTCGCAATCTCAAAAAAAATCTGAAGTTGTCCCAGATATTCAATTAGACCATTAAAGAGTCACATAGGAAAGCTTCAAAATGGTGTATTACTCAACCACCTCGATACGGTCGGCAAGATATAAAATTACCCCCAATAATCAAATACCCAAAAGTTCGATATATTTATTTCGCAATCTCAAAAAAATCTGACGTTGCCCAGATATTCAATTAGACCATTAAAGAACCTCTTAGGAGAGCTTCAAAATATGTATTACTTAACCACCTCGATACCTTAGGGAAAATATAAAACTACCCCAATAATGAAATACCCAAAAGTCCGATATATTTATTTCGCAATCTCAAAAAAGTCTGACGTCCCAGATTCTGAATTGGACCACTAAAGAGCCACTTCAAAATGACCCCAATAATGGGGTAGCTTTATATCCAAAAGTTCGATATATATATTTCGCAATCTCAAAAAAATCGGACGTTGTCCCAGCTATCAAGAGCTTCACAATCCACATTCACACTTCTCAACCACCATGAAGCGGTCGGGAAGATATCAAACTACCCCCAATAATGAAATACCCAAAAGTTCCATATATTTATTATATTATATTATAATATATCGAACTTTTGGGTGTTTCATTATTGTAGATTTCCGACCGTTTCGAGGTGGTTCAATAATACATCATTTTGAAACTATACCAAGTGGCTCTTTAATGGTCTAATTGAATATCTGGGACGTCTGATTTTATGAGATTGCAAAAATAAATATATCGAACTTTTGGGTATTTCATTATTGGGGGTAGTTTTGTAGCTTCCTGAGCGTTTCGAGCTGGTTGAGTAATACATGTTGAAGCTCTCCTAAGTGACTCTTTAATAGTCTGGTTGAATCTCTCGACCAACGTCAGACTTTTTCGAGATTGTGGAATACTAATTAAATTATTTTTTGGGGTGATGCCAACGGAAAAGGGGCTATTTTCTGTATAGAAACATTGGATATGGTTGTTCGGAGTTCCCTTGCAATATCTCCGGGCTTACCTACCCAGCATATCCACAGGAATATGTTTTTTTAAGCCGTTTAAGCCGTTGTTTTAGGAGGTATAAAAATACAACGTTATCATTAGTTTTCAGTCGCATTGATAGTTTGATGGATTCGTCTTACTCAGAAGAAGAATTGATTTTTTCAGGTTTATTATATCTTCAATAAAAAAAGGCGTATGTAGGAATATCCAGTTGTTTAGGAACACCAAACATAAAGTCTGTTTAATACCATATTTAACGAACTAAAATATGATTGCACCAAATATTTCAATGACAAGTTATGCAACAAATGTGGTAAACAACATTTGAGTCACGAGTTTATTTGGCACGAGCGAAGCGCCGCGAAACGAGCTCATAATAAACGAGTGACTTAAAAATTTATCAAACGTGTTGCATACTATAATTTTTCTACGAACGTTAGTTTTTGGGTACATTTTTGCAAAACAACAAGAACACATTCAGCATTGACAAACGTCAAAATTCAATCAACGGGAAATATCTCCGAAAACATGCGATTGCCCCCAAACCCGTGCGGTAATATCCGGGAAATGTTCGAAGTGGGTCGCAGCCGTAGGAAACGAAACTGATGCGGTATAGTGACACTTTCCGCACACTAGATAGCTATATGATTGGATGTTTTAGAGATAGGAGTAGAAAAATAAAAATATCTGGATGGGAAACAGCATTCCGCCACAAGAAAAACTTGTTCTAACACTTATATCAAGAATATATACTTATAAAACCTTTATTACAATCATCATTATAAATGTGTTATGGCAGGCTTATTTGTGAATATTCTGCAGAAAAATTCCTAAATTCTGCTGGTGATAGCTGTTGCTGCAATGTAAGGTTTGCTTGGGAATGTTTAGTTAAAAGCGTTATAAATCCGTCAGATGGTTATTGAAGTTGCATTTGTTATTTGTTGCTCTGTCGGTGGCTGAAAACTATTCGATGATTGATAACTTGCTGATGGAAAGGATCACGCTCCTTAGAAAATCACTGCTCCCCACCCACGTTCTTGAAATGCAGTTATTAGTATTGTTGAGATCAATTTCTTAAATTGCATAAAATATACAAGAACTTGTAATTTGGCAATACGCAATCGTTAACATTAGCAATAAAAAAAGAATCGGCACATGATTCTCGGGCGCTAATAGGTGTGTTTTCGCGGCATAAGTTAGTATAAACAGTTCCATTCATTTACATTACAGAATTACAGCATCTGCCGAGACGGCGGTATTTTATCAGTATATTATCTGGCATAAATCGCATACTAAACAGGCACCAAAATTACTTTTTCTACATATAAAATGCAAAAAACAGGTGAAACTGTGAAATAGTTGCCTTTCATAAAAAAGCTTGTATTTCAATTTTATTTTTTTTATTTTTTACGTACTTGGCAATATAAAAAAAGTGTTGACTGAAAAACGCTACCTACAAATACAAACAACTTATACTATTTCTATGAAATGAGTTAAGCTTGTTTCAAAAATTCAAAACGGTTCCTCTGTGAAATTTGATTGTTGAGATACATACATATAAAATATGTCTAAATTTTTGTTTTGTTGACTTTTCCGCCGAATGAACGACATCCACAATGCCTTTTTTCGACATGCGATTGGTCGCGTGTCACATAAAATTCTATTAATAACTAAAATCGTTTAAATCGTAGTGAGTATATAGAGAGTGTCTCAGATTACTTTATGCGTCTGTTGTACAGAAGAAAGAAAAAGTTCATATGAACATGAACAACTCAAGAGCCAGAATCTCTCCCAAGCATTAATTTTTTAAAAAATGGTGCCTCGGAGATTTTTCAAAATTTCGTCCATTAGCAATTTCTTGAGATAATTAACAATTTCAGGTTTGATGTGCGACTTTGCGAATATTCAGTTTGTCATTGACAGAGACACTTTTACAAAATTTTTTGGAAATAGTATAAACAAAATTATTTTCAACGAATAATGTTTTGGCAAATAAGTCCAGTTCCTATTAATTTTTTAAGGAAAAAACCAATTAAGTGCGTTTAAAAAATAGCATACAGTGTAGGTTAGTATGTAAAATGTTACACTTTTTAAAGCTGGCTTTAAAGCTTTAGGTGTACATTTATATATTTAAAAAATAATTGATTCTCGTTGCCGAAGCATCGAAAAACAAAAAGTTGCCTCTTGCTTTTCAGGATCTAGCGAAATTGAACCCACTTAACGTGATTTTAAAATTGTTGAAATCGCAAAACAATAAATACTACAGCGGCGGATGTTTTCCGAGCACCGCTCTGATAACGCTTAAGAGCCTAAAATTTAACATTGTGCAGAATGGGTTAAAGCATTCAAGTGTATAAAACTAGTACACAATATGACAAATAATGTTGAACGCAAAATTCAGTTTAATGGAAATGTCTTAATGTTAGCAATCTCACTCTTAAATCGGGATTAGGGCTAAAAGAGACATTCCTAAGCCATAGAATGTTTGTTAATATACTCAGTCGTCATAATTTGCTTAAATCCTAGATACTTACATTTGATTCCTTTCCGAGCAGCGTTTGAAAAAAACATTTTAAAATTAAATTTATAAACTACTGTACATATCAAACAAAACTTTCACAAATTTGTTGTGCATATACATAACCATTAAATAAATTATTATTATTGTACTTAGGTTGTCTAATTATCAATCCAATACTTACTACATCGATCTGTCCGACACGCTCCGAGACAATTCTAGAAACAGTTGTGTTACTGTTACCGAGAGTGAGCTTGCATCTGCTGGCACTATGGAAGTCATGAAGTTTAATCAGAGAGACGGATCATACAGATAAGGCTTTATAACTATGGAGAGAGTCACAATAGATGCAGATGCCTCAAGATTAGAAATTAACTTTCCTAAACTCTACTCCGAAATCTTTAATATATAAAATAAATACACTTTTAGATAAAACAAAAAATATGAAGTAGGAGAATTTAAAAAGACCAGACAAGAGAAACAATTACTCAGCCCCTTTTATAATAT